TGAGATGTTTCGATGGTTGATGGAACGAAGGAGAAGGAATCAGGAAAGGGAAATCTGAAGACGATATCATGAGTGCATGAAAGTATTTTGCTGAGGAATATTTCCTATTTATTGCAAACTAGCACACTGCACATATATGCCTCAGCTGCTGGCAATACTCATACTAAGAGTTTTATCCTCTAACTCAGTTGATATCAACGATTGAAAAAGAATTAAATTCAGACTTGATTTATCATTTAATAAAAGCAAATTGATTACATTTGATATTTTTGTAATTTAGAGCGATTATTTTATATAATTATGAATAGAATTCACCTAATAAAAGGTTCTTTTTCTGTAAATCTGAGTTTTCAGTTCGTTGATAGATAATTAGCTAGAAAAGAATGTGGAATATTATACATTGGATGGCCACGCCCGCAGGTATATATCTCACTATGAGCGCAACCATTTAACAAATGGCTGCGTTGGCTTTTCGCAATGGATAACTAACCTAGTGGTCATAGTGCTATCTTATCGCAGCTTGATGACTTTGCCTTGTTGATAGTTATTTTAACTGTTATGTTTATCCTACAAAAGCATATCAAGATGATGAAAAGTGGAACTATGTTCGATTTTTTTTTAAAAAAAACCACCCATCTATCAATACCGTCAACACAAGACGTACCCCAGGACAATACTAAACTTTGGCTTTTAATTCTATACGCGAATGCGATGCTGGGAATAGAGTTTATACGACTCGGCGGTGCAGGATCCCTCCATTAAACATAAGCACACGAGGCGTCCAACAGAACCAGCGCGTTCGCAAGTCAAACAATGTGCTCCGCTGGGGTCAATAAGCATAAGGCGCTGTCGAACGCAAATCAAGCAGTTCTCCGAGCAAAGTTCTTCAGGCAAAGGACTGCGTCTTGTTTGCTGAGAAGTTTGGCAGCTGCTTAATTTCTGCAGGGTTGCCTCACTTCACATCATGGTTCAGCCTTTCAGTCTGATGGATGTGGGAGTTCCACTACATATATCTCATCTCTTCGCGTTGGAGCGCTCTCAAACCCTTCAGTAACTAACTTAAGATTAACTTGCCTCAAAAGATTTTGAGCGGAAAGCACAAAGCCATTCTGCCATACATCAAGACGCAAGCCATCCTCCTCCACCTTACAACCCTTCTGTATAGTGTGGATACTCCTCGTCTACTGTTATCTACAGGATACTAGTTTTCAAGGTACGGCCGTTCCTATATTTGTGAGGGTCAGAGCTTTAATACCGTCACAGATGTCCAGACAGGCACCAGTTGAGCTCGTCAACAACTGCTCTTGGTCTTCAGTGGATAATGGGACTCCAAGAAAGACCTTTGATTGTGGAAACAGAAATTGCCCAGATTCTGTGAATCATCAACCAAAAAATTGAGAACCGAAGGGATAGGATTGGGGTTGGGATGGAGGGATATAAGAATTGTTCGGATTGTTTTGATGTTCAAGTTGACGTATAACGGTTCTTCATTCAACATGAAGGCTGTGAGATTCGGTTGATACTCTCCGCTTCCTGTCCTGAGTTCTCACGTCTTTTCCGCAGCGATCAGCAGGACAAGATTGCTACTTCAATTGCAACTTTGCCCTCAATGCGTTCGGCATCTGCCGACAACCAACCCCGCGGCGAAGGAATCTACTATCTTGTGATTAGATTTTGCCCCTAAGAATATGATTGCTAAATTCCATTTGTTCCGATCCTTCCCTCGGCTACAATATCTATAGTGATGACACGGCCTTACGCGAGGGTCAAAGAGAAAAGGGAGTGGAGAAGAGAGAATTATTCCTGATAGCCATATGGCAGATGTCATGTTATTTGCCCTTCGACAGATTGCATCTTGAGGCTTTGCTGAGTAATTTGCAATAACTACTCATCCTGCCTCTTGAAGTAGCCCTTGTAGCCCATTTTGCGATGATGTCGCGATCGTTCTCACATAGCTCACTCGTTTATGCGGTCATGGACATGCACACGAAATAGGGAAGCAAAAACGAGTAGACATGTCAATAGTGCTTTGTGAATAAACACGACGACCGAACAAGAATTGCCTGGTGTTACAATGAAGAGAAAACTGTTAACTTTTCCTTCTAAGAAGATGGTTGATATTCTCTATCTGTTCAAGTTACGCTACAAAATGTTCTTTATATCAGTGATTCTTTTTCCATCAGCATCTGATCAGATCGATCTTCTTTCCGATGATTATAATATCACACCGCTCTTGCACAAAGGCGTATTAAATCGCTGGGAAACTTATCGCGGCTTCCAACCATGAAATTGGCTTGAAGAGTGCACTGGAGGGAGTCCCTAGCTTTTTCGCAAACTTCGTCCCAACCGGCACCCTTGGATGAATGAATGTGTCATTACAGTCTGCACTGGGGCTGATATTTCGTTTGCGGCATGCGATCCCTTCGTATTGGCTTAGTTCGCTCTGGAGTTCTGACTTCATTTCTCCGGTTTCAATGCTAGTCAGGAGCTAAAGGAGTACCTGTCCGAGAAATACGAGCTTCCCTGGTGCGCTGTAAATCCATCACTCCCGTGCACCTTGCAGAAGGAAAAACAATGAGACGGGAGAGGTGAAGATGTCCCTGAAATTTCGTCCACCGCATCCTTTCCTTTGCTGTTTGGTGCACCCTCCCGATTTTCTCGTGTCATTTATTCGTTTCTATTGCAGCAGTGCAATAGGGGTCCCTCCAAACCATTTCTGGAACTCATCCTAGCATTTTATCTAAACTGTGAATTTGCATCTTGAAGTTGAAGAACCTGTGGAGACAGACGACAACATGGTTTGGTCATTCCCGCTTCTCCTGTCGTTTTGCATAGTATCAGGTTCCGGTGCTCTGGCTCAAGAAAGGAACCTCTTGCCCCGGCAAATAGACGTCGATCCGCGTCTCACTTGCAAGACTTGCACAGAATGTTTTGGATCTGGATATGTCATCTGCAGCTCAATCGGGTGTTTCAATCCGGAGAGGGGCCAACAGTGCTGTGCAGACGCAGGTCAGTAAATTGGCAAGGGGCGTGATAGGGAGCGCCGGAGCATTCAACCTAAATATCGGTTCTGACAATTCATGATAAAGTAATATGCGTGGCAAAGGACAATAGTTGCTGCGATGATTTCGTAAGTGCCCATCTCTGCGATGCGTTCTCGCATACCCACATCCATATAAAAATGAATGTATGAGGCATCATCTTTTCATCTATTAACCCATCAACTCATAGGGCGGACCAGGCGTAACGGGCACTG